CAGTGGCGAATTTTCTACTAGCCCACGCGTATCAACATTCCTGTCAACTGTGAGCAGGTTTCAGGATGTATCTGGTGCAGCTATATTACCAACAGATTTCAGCAGTCGAAATGCTCCCGCTTGTGATGACCCCTCGTGCCAAATCTGTTCCTTTGTTAATACTACTGCCCTGTCAGTCGTTCAACGATTAACTACTGAGGACATAGAGGACGGGAGAGCCAAAATGCCATTTACCACAAGAACCTCATGGCTTGCCATCCAGCAAGACTGTCCAGACCTGAGACGCACACATGCTCACCTTCAGCAAGGCACAAGACCATCAAAAAAGTTAACAAACGTTCGGGATGTCAAGCGTTATTTACAGCATGCAGTCATTGCCAAGGATGGGCTACTGGCGGTCAAACGTAATATACCATTCCACCCAACACAGGAGTGCATCATCGTTCCTCGCAGCGTTCTTGACGGACTCCTTACTTCTATACACATTTCATTGAACCATCCATCTTCCAATCAACTGAAAAATGTGGTGAATCGGTTCTTCTATGCACTTGACATGGACAAAGCTATTAACAACACCTCAGACAAGTGTCATCAGTGCACCGCATTGAAAAGTACACCTAAATTTCAACAAGAACACACTTCAAGTCAACCACCGGACAAAGTTGGCTATCTGTTTGCAGTTGATGTCCTTAAGCGTGAACGCCAACTCATACTGGTTCTGCGTGAGTACATAACTTCCTATACACGGACGTTACTCATTGAAAATGAGCGCCATGAAACACTTCGGGAAGGACTACTCATTTTGTGTTCAGAGCTACTACCGTTAGATGGCCCATTTACCGTAATCCGGACAGACCCTGCACCTGGATTTACTGCATTGGTCAACGATAAACTCTTAGCCAAGCATCGCATATCCATTGAAGTGGGACGTATAAAGAACGTCAATAAAAATCCAGTAGCAGAGCGAGCAATACAGGAACTAGAAATGGAAGTCTTGCGTTATGATCCAATGTGTCGCACAGTTACTCCATTGTCTTTGTGTTTAATTACCTCTCGACTGAATACACGAAATAGGGGTAGAGGAATCTCTGCCAAAGAGATGTGGACCCATCGTGACCAGTTCTCGCATGACCAGATCCCTGTGGATGATAACGAGCTGATTTCCAAACAACATGATATTAAGCTTGATAATCACCCACACAGTCTAAACAACCTGGAAAGAGCAGTGCCCCTGGATGTAAGAGCAAAATTGGTGACTTGGTGTACTTATATTGTGACCGTAACAAATCAAAAAACAGAGACAGGTATATTGTAGTATCGTGCGATGGTGAATGGCGACACATTAGTAAGTTCAGTGGCTCCCAGCTCAGACGAACAGCTTATCGTGTTAAAGACAGTGATTGCTACTTAGTACCATCACAGGAAATACGTCAAGATAGTGTTCCAATCAACCTACCCTCTGATGATGAGAGTGATGAGTTGCCGCGTGAATCCATGGACTTGGAAAACAGCTTAACCGAGTCAACATTCCCTTCACCACCACCAATACCTACTATTCTCTCGGATCCTCCAACCCCACTTCATCCTTCATCACCCGCAGATAAACTCACAGAACCACTGGTTTCTGTGATAATACACCCTGACAGTGCCACCGCTTTACCACCTACTTGCAACGATGATGACCCGCAACCTAGACCCACCCGTGTTCGCAATCCACCGAAGTGGTTATCCGATTATGTTTGTGATTAAACCGTGTGATTTGTGTTTTGGGCATAATAATCCCCTTTTAAGTTTTAATTCTTATCAGAATTCAGTTAAAATTGTCATTGCATAAAGTATGTTGTATGATTAACATTACCTTAATTGCATTTAGTATTTTTACATTTGTGTAAAAGAAAGAAAAAGATGAAAAATGGTGACACCATTATGTTGAATAACATGTATTCCGGGTTTACTGAATGTGACCCGTATGGTTCTGCGTTATATTTTATTGGTCTGTCATTCCTCGTTTCCGGTTTAATAAATGCATTGCCGTATTGATACCTGTGTGTGTGTTGTTGTGTTGGATAATACTAACTGGCGCAGATAGAAAAACATTAATCGAGACATGCATCGGGGAGCACATTGCAGATACGAACGATCGAGGCATATGCATTACGTGTTACAGATTTGCCGAACGTATAGAAACGTTAAAGAAAGATGTCGAGAGGTAGGTTATTAATCAGTTATTAATGTTATTAAAGCGAAAATACCTGATTGACAGGTTATGAATACGATCAGGTCCAGTACAATCACTAGCTGCGAAGGTAGAATTACCTAATACGTAGCTTTATTTACCGCATTGTACTGAATAATTACCCACCTATTATCATGTTAACAGGAACTGGACTTTTTAGTCATTTTATTAAAGGAGTAACTGTTCGAACTGTCATATATAGTCCCAAAACTTTCAGAACTTTGCAAATGGTCAGAAAAAGACGTTTGAACTTTCTTTAAGAGTGATTTTTTCCTGAATTGTTTTCAGATAAATTAAAAGTTAAAAATGATCACTGCATTTCTGAGATTTTCTGCACATCTTGAGAAAAATACTTTTTTATAGAAATAAACTGATTTGGTAGTTAAATAAAGCTACCTCATTCAGGTAGGCAAATAAAGCTACATCAGTACATGTAATTAGGTAAATCAAGCTAAATCTAGTGATTAAATGTACCAGACCTGACGGTATTGATCTGACTGACAATAGTCATGAATACAATAATGATCTGTATTGTCAATTTTTATCATTATAAAAGCCATTCTATAACTTAAGCTGTTCTTGGTCTTATACATAAAAGTGATTGGTATATTTATTTCTTCAGCCGTAAAGCAAAGATGTTTCCGACCTACAGTAATACAAGCAGTCATATATCTCTAACGGTCCCATCTCCTTCATTCATCAAGAAGAGACTCATCAACAGTCCGGCCAGTGTTAAACCTGTGAAAATGCAGTTTGCACGTGCACCACTTACAACACTGCATGTGCATTCACCTGTGAAACTTAAGTCATTTGGAGAGGTCATAAATGTAGGAGGTAATCAATGCACTTAAATACACTTAAATACTGATGATTGTCCAAAGATAAATGTCCACAATTTTTTTCTGTATTTACAGGGGAAGGTAACATTTGTTAAATTTAGTAGAAATTGGAACTTTTATTATTATACTTTAAATTTGGCTGAAAAGTAAATGCCCCCTTATAGTATCTGTATTACTCTGACCTGTCAGATTGAATGATAAGACTTCCTACATACATTAGACTTCATTCACTACATACCCGTTCTTACTTCACATGTAAGAAGAATGAACAAAACAAAAATATTTTTTACAAATTTATGTTTTAAAATACATTTATACTTGTACGTAAGATTGCTATATTATTATCGGTACATATTAATTCTCAAATATTTTGATTACATTTTAGCTTTAATATGAAGTTATATACTTGATTAATAGGTGGACTACTTGTGCAGAATATTCCACAAAACATTGCTCCAAAGCAGCAACCAACCAAAATGACACTCTTTCCATCCAGTATTGAAAAAATAGGAAGTATCCAGGTAAATGTCATGCTTCACCTTTTTGTATTAAAAATGTTGTTGATTCAAGATCACAACAATCAAAATTTCTTTAGAATGAAAGTAATGAAAATGTGAAAGAACAAGAGCAGACAAAAAGAAGTACTAGTACTATGAGAAAGGAAAATACTGAAGATTGCTATGAAAATGAAGTTGAGGTATGTAAAAGTGTGAACGAATAAAGAGTAGAAAAATAATGAAAAAATCAAAATACACTAAAGTATTGGTTTGAGTATTAGCATGTAATTTTACTACAAGGCAACACATTTCCATTAAGTCTGAGGTTTTAAACAGGATTTTTGAATTATGTAATCTTTCAAATATTGGTCAAGTAAATTTTTTTGGAGAAAACCTTTGTAACATGTTTATACCCCTAAAATTGGAATCAGCCTGTGTGTCTGTAAGTTGAAAAGATGTTGCATGGACTGTTTCTCAGAAACTAGTGCAAGGATTTGTTTGTAAATTTGTATATTTATTATTCACCGTATGAAGATCTGCACTTGGTATTTTTAGCTCACCTGAGCCGAAGGCTCAAGTGAACTTTTTTTGATCACATTTTGTCCATCGTCTGTCTAGCTGTCTGTCTGTTTGTCTGTAAACTTTTCACATTTTCACATTTTCGACTTCTTCTCAAGAACCACTAGGCCAGGAAAGCTGAAACTAATGTGGAAGCATCTTTACGTAGTCTAGATATTAAATTATTAAAATCATGAGCCCGGGGGTTGGGCAGGGCCGCAATAGGGTATCCAAGTTTTAAATAGAAATATATAGAACAAATTTTTGAAAATCTTCTTTTCAAAAACCACTTGGGCAGGAAATCTGAAACTTATGTGAAAGCATCCTGGGGTAGTGTAGATTTTATAAGGTATTCAAATGAAAGGACAGCGGGTAGGGGGCATGATAGATTTAACAAGAGGGGAAATGTGGTAAAGAAATGCATCACCGAAGTTACTCAGGTGAGCGATGTGGCCCATGGGCATCTTGTAAATGTTATTCAATAATTGTTCTGCATTTTACTTTTTTTCTCATTTTTATTGAATTAATCAGTTTGGGATTATGTTTAGGGTTTAAGACATAGAATTTGGAATCTCTATACAAACATGTGAACTACAGCTTAAAACAATGATTTGTACAGTAGTTGGATATGATTTTTTTATGGGGTATTTTTCCTTTATGGACAGTTCTAGTTTCTTATTGTCGTCTTTCCAAAATCATTAACAACAATTTTTCTTACTCACAGATTTCAATATTTTACAAGAGTGGAAGAAAGTCACGTTTTGTTGCTGATCCTAATCTCAAAACCACGTGCAAAGCTATTTTTATGGAAAAAAGGAGCAATCAAAACCATTCTTAATATTCTCAAGTTGACAAATCCCGATGAAATAATTGAAATAGCAGCCTCTTTAGTGGCAGATGAATGTAGAAGACTCTGCAAAAGGTTCTCGGGCAGCATTCTGCAAGACCGCAGCTTTGAAGGAATATTTCAGTTTTCTTGGGAGAAACTTGAAATGAACTGCAACTACGGGCTCCAAAATTCCTTTACATTGTTTCACATGCTGTCACAGACAAGCCACCTACTCAGACATACAGAAGCCGTACTCAGATGCTATATACAATTGCAAGTGCACTGCATGCCCGGAGTAGAGAAATGACGGTTCTTCAGTACTTGACAGGTTTCATTTTAATGAATGGGGGATGTACTCCAAGGGTAATTAATTTCTCTGCAGTTTTGTTGTTGCATTCAATTTTCTGAAAGTTTTATTAAGGTATCTGATGGCAGATTTTCAGACTGATTAAAACAAAATATTTGAAGTAGGATAGTATTAATTATCTTGTTGTCACCTTGTTGTTGTCAGTACTCATATATAATATATTGCTACATTCTTAAAAATTTCTTTCATCTTGGTTCAGCCATCAGATACCAAAAGATACTGTTTCATTTTTGTTGTCAAAGTTTATTTTGTTATAGATTTTTTAAAAATTATTTTCTTAAAAATTGTTTATTGTTTTTGGTTTTTGTTTTGTTTCCCAGCTTTTACAGATCTGTACAACTCAAAGGAATAGTTTACTGTTTTTTGTAAGGAAAGTTTAATATCAAGTTCCTTTATGGATAATCATCTTGGATGTACCAGCTAACTTTCGCAGATGGTAATCAACTTAAGTTAATCTTTTTTTTTTCTTTAATGTTTAGTAAATTGCTCTTGATAATACTATACAATGATATTAAATAATTTTTGCTATCAAATGAAAAGTTAAAAAAAACTGTACATGTTCATAAAAATGATGAAAATAATATTTAACTTGTCTTGTATACAGAACATTGACAGACTAGCAAAAATTGGAGTCACTGTGTTATCAGATACTCTGCATAAGAAACTTTCAAACTGGCAGGAATATCTTGATAATGAACTTTTACAAATAAAAGAGAACTGGAGTCAAGGAGGGTCATTGAAGTTCCAAATTGTCGGTGACAACTGGGACAAAAATATTCTGCCTAGCTACAGAACATCACAGCAGAATACGTTGTCCCTGCATCTTTTTACGCTCATAGGTGTTGTTGACCGTGTCACACCAATCATTGATCCTGCTCATGATGACAACCTTTTGAATGTCCAGGATTTGGAAGCTGAAAAATTCATACCTTCCTTACAAGAACAAGATATTCTCAGTAAAGAATTAACTTTCCTTGTGTCTACTGCTCTGGTTCAGAATATTCCTAAGCTGAAGTCCTGTTTGGGAAGCATATAGTGACCTAGCTGGGATAAAAACTAGACAGGTACCGAAAGCTCATTTGTGTAATGATGAAACCAATGTAATATAATGTACTAGTATTTGATATCTTATAACTTAGAATCAAATAAACAGATAAATGCACATGAAAAACAAGATCAATTAATCACATGTAACAGGCTATAATCTATTCAAAGTTACATATCTAATTCAGTTTATTTTTTAAATTTAGTTTTGTTTGGGTTTATATGACTGCAATGAACAGAAGACACAAGATGTAATCCTCTTTTGAAAGACATTTCGAAGAAATATGTTCCTCAAGTGAATGGTGAAATCAAAGAAGAGGTGTTTTTGGAGGTAAAATGTGTTTAGTTACAAAATATAGAAAAAAATATTGTAATGTGATTTGGAGGGGATATTTCTATCTTTCATACAAATTTTCAGGAATATTGTGATTCAAGCTTTCATTTTTAAACCTCACAGAAATTTAAATCAAATTAGTTTTTCCTGTCAATATACATGCTTTTAAGACTCCATAGAAAATGAACAATCAAACAAATTTTCATTACATGAAATACATGTATATTAATAAGATGCTCCCCATTTAAAAATATCCTATTTTTCATTTTACTTTTTTCAGGAGACAGGTTAACTGACAAGAGAATTCAGTGCGCACAAGAGGCAATGGTAAATTCTGCCACTTCGATGGAAAGACTTGAGGGGTTTATATCCAAAATAGAGGACTTTCATCGCCTCATGAATTTTTTGGAGGTAGGTTAATTACGTTTTATTGATTTCATAAAAATATTGTACTTGTACTTCAGGTCACACAGTTTTATCTCCCCTGTTTTTCGCAAATGGTAGGGGATATTAAGTTTGTTATAAAACCTTACAAAGCTGTATCTTTATTTATTGCTGAAAGATTCAATATTTTAAAACTTTCCTTACTTTTCTTGTATTTTTTCATGTCTATCGTTCTTTTGGCTTTTATTAAGAAAGGCTGATAAGTTTGTTTCCTAATGAGATCTCAATAACAATATTGTTGATTTTTTTCTTATCTAGGCTATCTGCAAGCTTACATTTGACACTGGTTCTGCAAAGGATAGGTGCACTGCATACTATTTTAGGAACCTTTTGAATGCGCGAGATGTAAAAGCTGATGTGAAAAACTCTTATCGACCCTACAAAAAGCTTTATTAAACAATATTTGATGGAATATGTTGTGCCTTGTTCCTTAAAGAAATGAATTTGAATTCATTGGAAGAGGAACTTCCTTTACCATGCGATTGGGAAACGTTGGAAAATGATGAGTCAATTAAGTGGTTAGATGATATTAGCTGTAAAATTGTCAGAAATTGGTTCTTTGAGAATAATGATATATGTCATGAAGTAAGGGAAGTCCTGACTGACTCCAATCATGAGGAGAATTATTGGACTGGAAATTACATTAATGGGAAATTCAAGTGCCATTTTTGTGAGAGGTCATACACCTACATAGGAAGTCTTCAATCTCATGAACTAAAATCGCATTCTCATTCGCCCTCTAAGAGCTCTCAAAAGCAAAGATGCAGGTGGTGATGAACTATACAATTACATTCTTTGTCTATTCAAGTTGACCGCCTTACACAAAAACCTTGATTTTGCCGTCGACATGGGTGATGGATTGCGATCGGTGCGATCTGCCAAATATGAAACTCCCATATACAACAAAACTAAATACCTCATTGGAAGTGTGCATTTGACTGCCTAAGTGTGCGGAAGTCTTCCTATGGATCAAACCGAACGCTTGGTATGGAACAGATCAATTAATATCAGTGGAGGCAAAAACCACTCGACGAATTTGTTGAGCTTGTCAACAGAGATACCAAAGCTTTATACTCTGGTTTCCATACGAAGGAGAGCATTTTAACTCATTCAAGAGAATTCCCTCATTTATCAATGCTTCCAAGCACTATGACACAATTTGCGATGTTAGAAAACGGAAAGGATTCCACAAGGAACCGTCTTATGTAGAGGATGTGAAAAAAGTTACAACAGAGCTCTTGCATGTGAAAGCACTAGAACAGATCAAAGGCCGAAAACTGGAATGCAAGGACATTTTATCAGAGAGAAATCCGTTTGAATCATGTTACAAGAACATTGCTATGATGATACACAGACATAAGCCTGTTCTTCCATTTAGACGTTTGGGAAATAAAATAATGTGATTTCTTCAGTCACCGAGTTATATTCAGTCAAGTTCAGCAACAGCCTTCCCCTTAAATCATATCATGTTGTATGACATTTTTTAAATTATTATTTCAAATCATTAATATCATATTACTATGAAATCACAGATTTTCGTCTTTTTCATAGATGTAATGTGTTATCACTATATAATTATTATAGAGCCACGCTCTAACACCTTAACCCCTGACCAAGCGATCCTACTAAACAGAGAACCCTAGAGAACTCTAGAGAACCCAAGGTTTATATTTTGAACTTATGTATGATTTATGCTTAATTGGATAGATTTTTATTAAATAAAGCATATTTCATTTATAAAATGAATTAAAAAGGTATTTTATGGAAGTTTTCAGCAGAAAAACGTAACAAAATAGAAGGCAAAATATTTTATGACATCCCGATCTCGATTTGAATTTCAAAAAACTTTTGGAAACACTGTCTTTGCATAGTGAGGTACATGTGTGTTTATATAGGAAAGACTGTCTTTACATAGTGAGGTACATGTGTACTTGTATAGGAAACACTGACTTTGCATAGTTGGGTACATATGTGTTTATATTAGAAAAACTGACTTTGCATAGTGAGGTACTAAATGGTTGTTTATAATGGAAACAAGTCAAGGCTGCTCTTTATTTTTTGCTTTTTTCATCTATTCTAATAAATCTTTAATTGCAGTTGCCACCAAAGATATACATTGTCAACCAGCCTGTACTAAAGACTCTGGGCATCAAGTCGCCAAAGAGTTGGACTTACAAGGTAAAGCATATAAATATATGTGTTTGAATGTTTTGTTTGCTGTAGGAAGTGAGAATTATGCTAGGTACACTGAAAGTAAAACTAGTGATTGAAAGTAAAGGCTTTAGCTTTTTTTAGCTCTACTGGTCATATACGCTACTCCTCCTACAATTTTGAGCTTATTCCAATGGCTTCTTTTATCTTCCTTTGTTAGAAGTACAAACAAGTAGAGGTACAGTCTCGACAGATATTTCTGTGTTTTTTTTTTTATTTTCTTTGCGTTTAGCTTGTTTCATTCATTCTATTAATTCTTCAATTTCAGTTGCCACAAAAGATATAAATTGTCAACCAACCTCTACTTAAAACTTTGGGCATCAAGTCACCAAAGACTCGGACTTACAGGGTAAGGCATATAAAAATATGTGTCTGAATATTTTGTTTGCTGCAGGAAGTGAAAATTCTAACTCTGATTTTGCATAATTAGGTAATAAATGTGTGTTTCCATTGGAAACACTAACTTTGGATAGTGAGGTACATGTGAACTTATTAAGAAAACACTGATTTTGCATAATTAGGTAATAAATGTGTTTCTATTGGAAACATTAACTTTGCATAGTGAGGTACATGTGAACTTATTTAGGAAACACTGATTTTGCATTATTAGGAAATAAATGTGTGTTTCTATTGGAAACACTTACTTTGAATAGTGATGTACATGTGAACTTATTTAGGAAACACTGATTTTGCATAATTAGGTAATAAATGTGTGTTTCTATTGGAAACACTAACTTTGAATAGTGAGGTACATGTGAACTTATTTAGGAAACACTGATTTTGCATAATTAGTAAATAAATGTGAGTTTCTATTGGAAACACTAACTTTACATAGTGAGGTACATGTGAACTTTTATAGGAAATACTGACATTGCATAGTGAGGTACCGAATGTGTGTTTCTTTTGGAAACACTGTCTTTGCATAGTGAGGTACATGTGTTTTTATATAGGAAAGACTGTCTTTGCATATTGAGGTACATGTGTGTTTATATAAGAAACACTGACTTTGCATAGTGAGGTACCGAATGTGTGTTTCTTTTGGAAACACTGTCTTTGCATAGTGAGGTACATGTGTTTTTATATAGGAAACACTGTCTTCGCAAAGTGAGGTACATGTGTGTTTATATAAGAAACACTGACTTTGCATAGTGGGGTACATATGTGTTTATATTAGAAACACTGACTTTGCATAGTGCGGTACTAAATGGTTGTTTATATTGGAAACAAGTCAAGACTGTTGTTTATTATTTGCTTTTTTTTCTTCATTCTAATAAATCTTTAATTTCAGTTGCCACCAAAAATATACATTGTCAACCAGCTTGTACTAAAGACTCTGGGCATCAAGTCACCAAAGACTCCGACATAGAATATTAGGCATTCAAATAGTCTTTTACGGTATCTTATTCATTCTTTTTTTGTTCAATCTTCAATCCATTTTTTCCTTTAAGATTTCTGTCCTGGTCACTTGTATGGCAAGTCCAGTTTTCCATGTTGATCACTGGGTTCTACAAAATTACCATCGGTTTCATGTTCTATCCGTTGACAGCATCCAATTCCATTTGAATGTTTTCCTGAAGTTGGTAAAATCCCTCATTGCCACCTTCTATGGGGGTGTCAAATCCATCAAATGGATCATCACTTTTATCCCCGACTTGAATAATGACCATCTTCTGTGCCATCGAGGTTAGTGG